ACATATATATATATATATATATATATACATATATATATACATATATATATATATATATATATATATATATATATATATATATATTAATATGAAACATAAATATAATAATAATATAGTAATTTAATAATAAGAAATATAAATAACAACAACACTTTAAATAACAAGATAACTGCAGATAGCAGTCCATAGAGCCCGCGTAGCTCACAAGTACCGAAAGGGGCTAGTATAAGATAGAGGCAAGTACAAGATATTCAACTGTATTAGCAAGGCGCTGGAAGCTTCTGACGTAGCCGTCCTCTTCACTATCGTGACGTAGTTCCATCCCCACCAAACAAGCATCAGAAAAATCCGAGACTTTTTGTATTTTTATTGTTATAACCATACTATAGCTCTAGTAGCGATGCCCTTCAGTGTGGCTGACTGCATTAATACTCAATAAAATAAAATATTGTTATAACTAAATCTTCACCGACTACACAAGTTGAAAATTCATGCAGGTGCCCATTTATGCATGCATAAAACCAATATAAAGCTGTAACTATTCCCCCAAGGAATACTAAAAGAAATTTGTACTATAAGCAATTTTCTTTACTACAGCACTTGTAGATCCTTGGCCTCCACAATAACGCCTCCCCAATCCTTGTTATCAGGCTTTTCCATTGTCCGATCCCCATCTTCTGCAAATCGTCCTCCACATCATTAATCCATCTCAGTCTGGACCTTCCTTTCCTTCTTTTGCCTCCTGGTTTACCATATAATACTCTTTTCGAGTATCTATCTTCACCCATCTTTTCAACGTGCCCAAGCCTTATACGACTTGATTTAACATAAGTAACTATGTGTGGTTCTTTATACAGTTCTTGGAGTTCTCTATCATTTCTTATTTTCCATTGGACATTTATGAAAGCAATACTCAAGTATCGCAAGAAATCTTATTCCCTATTTCCTGTAAAACTCTATACTCACACCATACACATACATCATTTCAATATTATGAAATATCATTTCAACAAGGAAATTTCTATATCAAATACAATGTTTGACCTATTCTGTTTGATGTATAAAGAAACATATTAGGACCAACCAAGCCACCCACTATATATGAAAGTTTTTTATTTATTTGTTTTCCATTTAAAAAACAAAAAATAAAATAATAAAAAAAAAAGCGGTTTCTAAGAAGAAGTATACAGAAGTCGCGAATGGGCTGGTGAGAAAATTGTTACGATCGTAAATTACAGTCCACCGGAATCATGGACAATCAAAGAACAACCAAGAACCTTGGTTAATGTCCGCAACCAGTTTCGAGTCCCTTCCGCGTCGAGAGGGGTCGACCGCAGCGAAGACTGATGGAGCTCAAATTGGACCACTGATCTTCAGGCTCCTTAATGTGCGAAAATCAACACCCATCAGAAGTGAGTAGTATGCCTCAACGGTAATGATACCGCTCTCTGAGTCAACATGGCTGGAGGCAAGAGGAGCACTGATATATGATAGATCCCACGGTGAGTACAAGTGAAGAATGCATCAATTTATTACATACTCTTAACAAGTCTCCGCTTACAGCCAATTTCGAAGACGATAAGCAGAAAGATTTCAAGATTTATTACTAGTTCTTACCATATCAAAAAGTCACAGGCAATAAAACAAAATGAAGCAAAGATAAAATGCATCCCATTAAGTCAGGAACAATCAATAAGGAAAAAAAATATGTTGCGAAACATAAAATGAATGTAGTCTATTAATTACTTTATTCAAAGCGTAAATATGTTACGCCATGTAACAAACTGTAGCACATTATTATCACAGTGGAAGGTGTGGAGTACTCAGCCCAAAATTTAATTTACCTAAAATTAGATTTTATTGAGTTATTGCTAGTATAAGCCGATGAATATAATTAATGCATACAAAATTATTGACATATATTTAATTAATCACTCGTCGTGACCAAGTCGCACGTACAAAACAGGAACTAAAATAAACTCGCTGAAATGGAGTTTTCAAGCAAAGTTAGGTCGCTTAGTACTTATCGAATGATAGTGAAGCTTGCTTCTGTATAAACCTCGATTGAATAGTCAGGATTGATTCATAACAATGGAGAGCGGAAAATTCGATTGAAACTGTGTCCGTAAACTTCGCACTCCCTCACGGAGCATAGAGATCTAGAATCGGCTCAATCAATTTATTAATAAATATTGAAAAGGGTCATCGTAGTATTTTTAAAAAGAAATATAACATAATTTTTTTTTTAAAAAATCCAGACTTGCCAGAGAAATTAAGAGCCCAGGTTGATATGAGTTGGCCAAGAGACTCCATCAGATTTCACAACTCATTGTCCTCTGCATTATATGAATAATGTAGTATGTGAAAGGAAGCATGGAGAAGAAAATGTATTATGTTTACAAAGCACTATTCTGGGGACGAGGAGGGAGGTGCAGAACCTTGTCCTTTCGATGTACCATATAAATCCAATTCTAATTGAGGATCGCAGACGTGGGCACATCCACTTCACTGTGAAAAATTCAGTACCATGACTAATTTCGTGGGTGTAATAGTGCATTGGGACTGCTTATGAATAAAGATCAGGCTGGCAAACCGTCTTACAATATTCCCATTATTTAAAAATAAAAATTAACTTTATTCTGGGACAAAGTCCTTTTAGAATAACAAAATAGTACATAATTAAAAGACTAAATCTAGCCAAAATAAAACAATAATAAAAAAAGAGAAAGTAAAGAAAATATTAGTTAAACAAGCTATATATATGTAAAAAAAATTCTATATACAAAACACTTAAAACTATGACAAGACACTTAAAACTATGTACAGTAGGAAAAGTTGTAATTATACATTTTTGAGAAATAAAAAATACATTGAGTTCTTCTTTAAAATAAGCTGTGTTTCTGCTAACATAGGAAAGACGAATCTGACAATATAAAATGTCAGAGTATTTAAATAATTAATAATATCTAAACAGATCATAAATAAAAAAACAAACAATAGATGCATTCAGTGGCATTGAGAGTATGAAGATATAGTAAAATCTCTAGTGAAGTTTATAGTATGGAATAGTACTATCATTTGATGATGAATGATATAGTAGAAACGTATAATATCAAAAGCTCAGCAAGCATCTTACTGTTTTTGTGATAGGAATTGGAATAGGAGGGTTTTTGAATGTGGATATGGAGGGAGAATGCCGAATTTTGATAGGTAAGGGAATTCCAGAAATTGACAGCGCGTGCAATAAAGGAGCTTTGAAATGAGTCAGATCTGTGGGAAGGGATGTAAAGGTCAGAAGGTCGAGATCTTGTTGAAAGGGAATGTACTGCGGACTTGAATTGGAGAAGGTTGTAGGCGTAAGAAGGATGATGGTTGTTGATGATATGATAAAGAAACGTACCTAGGAAATATTGTCTTCCAAAGGAGGGAAAGAGCCATCTTAACTCAGTGTAGTGGTGAGAGATATGGGAGTATCTCGGGGCACCAATAACAAATCTTACGCAGCTATTCATTAATCATTATTCACTAGTTCAAAAATGATTTTCCATAATTGTTTACCATAGAGAAATAGAACATTTCAATTTATTATGCTTTTATATAATTTGTTATGGTTAATCTACAAAAGATAAACAATTTCCAACCTATAATGTCCTCGAAGCAAGCCTGATATTTATGTTATTGGTAGCGGAACACTCTTGAACTCCATTGGTTGGATTCTCCCACAAGACACTATTAAATATGGAAGGACAAAGCATCCATCACTCCCACGTGAGGCCTCCAGGACCATCCTACGTCTGTGATCAGCGTGTCCTATTGTTTAGAAATAAGGGAGGACAGGTGGTCTTCCTAATTTGAAGTTAAAAAACTTCAATGACTACTAACAGGATTACGTTTATAATTACTTTTTGATTTAACAAGAAATTATATCATTAATGAATAGTTCAAATTCTGATGTAGAATTGACGAAATTAAGTGAAAAGAGTTGACAAGAAAAGCAATATCAATTATACGGAATAGCTGTTAATATTCACATTAAATATATACATTACTATGAACATAAATAACAAAGATTATACGTATGGTAGGCGTTTAAGCAAATTGCTAGACCCAGAATAGTAAAAAATTCACATTTCTTTCCTTCACTTACCAAATCATATATAATTTACCAGCCAAACATTACCAAGTTATTTCAATGACTTATTTAACTTTAATGCGGGAAATAAATTCATATAAATTAAATATGATGACTATTAAAACTGAAACGATGAATCTAACTGAAAAAAAATTCAATTAAACTTCAGTTCTTTGTTTAAAATCCCACAGCCTCTAAAATTCAGTTAATGAGAACTCAAAAACTTAATAGTTCACTTGGAAATTTTAATCATTTTTTTTACATTCAATTCTGCTCTATTTTTTGTTGTTTTGTTTTGTGTGAGCGTATTTTAGTATTCTATCAACTTAATTAATATTTTCTAAAATGAAAATTGCCAAAAAAAAATGTTTTATTGAAAAAAGTTTTAATATTCAATTTAACTTTGAAATTCCATTTAAAACTGAATAAAAATAAGAAAACATTTATTATCTTATTTTTTCCTTGGAAGAGTAAATCAAATTAGGCCTTCGTGTGTTTTTATACATATTTTTCTAAACTCTTAGTAACTTCAAGCATTTATTCGACTAAAAAGATTCATAAAAAAATTAATCATAAAATTGAGATAAAATACTGTTTCGTTGTACTAAATATAATACTATATATACTACACTAAAATTTAGTAATATATATTTTTAATAAAGTTTCGTAGTACGAGTGTACTGAACGTGCTTAGGGTGTTTCAGTTTGTTTTTATTTTAATCTAATACAAATTTTCTTTTATAATTATATATAGGTTATAAGATCCCACAATACTTATTGCTATTCCAAAAAAACGGCTTGAGATTTTTTGGATACCATACAGGAGAAGACAAGATGTCTCGTCTTGGATCTTGTCGTCTTTCCCTGCATGGTATCCAAAATATCTCAATTCAAAACTAAATCTTCCCGTCAACGCCTTAGCAGTGAGTTAGTGAGCATTATTGATGTAAACGAGGGTAAGGTAACACGACAGCCAATCCAAGAGATTAAATACGACACTTAGTCGAATGACGGCTCCCTTTCGAAACAATGACCACGCCCTTAATTATAACAAGATTAATTGCTCAAGATAACAATGCATTCCACATGCACGAGGCGTCCGTGTTCCTTATTGGGGGATCGAAATTTCTTAATTAACTTTTCTAAATAACTAGAAAAGCATTTGTCATTCTTACAATTCATTCATTTAATGAGAAGACTTGTTAAGATCAATGAAAACCAAATCATGCAACTATGTATTATTAATATTTTTTTTTTTAAATACAAAGATCGTAATTTTTTTTTAGAACGCTTTTATGAGATTGCTAATATAAATGCCCAAGGAAGCGTTATGACAGCACTTCTCACGTCAACTACTAAAATCATACTGGATAATGAAAGAAGTTATGTTCACCCAGCTATGAATTTAGGTACGAACTTATCGTGCATAAAACTGGATTGTTGGATTATTTGAACTACCGAATAATCCAACTATGCCGAAATAGGACATCATTGAAATATCATTAATAAAATGAAAGGACAGATTTCTAAACATACTGCAGTCATCTTAAGGAAATCGCTTAATATACAGTTACACCATAGGAGGATAAAAAAATATATAACTTACGCAATTAGTATTGATTAAATAGCATTAAAATAAACTGTGTTTCTAAAATACTTAGTTTAAAGCCATTGAACCAAAGAGACTTTCTGTCAATTCTTTTATTTGGTTATTGGTACATTTTTCAAATTAATTCCGGATGTTTTTCAATTAAACAGACTCACTGGTCATGTATAAAAAGTGGTGTAAATATACCGGTAAAGGTCCATCCTAAAATATATATATATATATATATAATTATGATAATAAAATCGACACTTTTTTAATCAAAACAATTGAAATAAAATTAAAGGGCTAACTGTAAGAATATTTTATGTTATTTGAACTTCAATTAAAGAAAAATTGAATTCAATAAATTGTTATTAATCAATTAGACTGTATTATTAAATTTTGAAGCGTTCAAAACTTCGAAAATATATGTTTTAGAAAAATTAAACAATGTAGAGTGAAATATTTCAAATATTTTGCCAAGGGAAAATTCTTTCTTTTTCCTACAATGTGGCATGACCTACCTATCACATGAAACAGAAAATTAAATTTCTGGTTTTCTAATTAGAAGTGAACACTAAATTGGATCCGAATAGGAAATTATTTTGACTATTTATCAATCCATTACTCGAATCCAAATTCCCAAATTCTGTCCAATAAGTACAATTATTCAAATACCTTTCTATTGGAGTCATGCTTTATTTATATTGGTTTTTATACGTACAACGTGAATCATAAAACAATAATTTAATTTTTTTTAAAAAGTTAGAAGCAAACATGGCTAATTACGAACCTTTTCCAAAAATCTAAAATGAAAACTATAACTTAAGAGAGAAAAAATAAGAGCTCTAAAAAGTTAGTTATACTGGAAAAAATGAAGAAGATCCAATGAAAGAGATAATTGAACCAATGATAAAAAGAAAAAAATACCAAGGTACCTATTTGGAATGTGGGTCGCGATTGCGAACGGGCAGCAGTACCAGTTTGCAGGGGAAAGAATGAGAAAGCTACTCTAAAGATATAAGCTAACATCACGATGAGCACACTAATGCTTATTACAGCCGGCCATTGTTGTCGAGTCTGAGGTTCACAGCCAATGTTGTCACTAAAACCCTTATATACAGACAGCTGTGTCGCCATTAGCGATGAAATTATCAAAGTAATTCAAACAAGATAATAATTACTCCAAATTGAATCAAATTCACATTATTAAGGGGTAAAAACATGTAACAGATTATTTCCCAATTAAATAATATAAATTCTCAGTGAATCTAAAGTATACGACTAATAGATACTTATAACTTAGAAATTGTAAATATTTTCTAATTACGAGAAAATAAATAAAATTCAGAAATACCAATCAACAACCAGGTTCTCGAATGATCTTTCGATACTTGATAGAATTATTTATAGAACTCTGTAAACACGAAAAAAAATATGTATAAGGTATAAGCTTCAATAGTCTCAATAATTAAACTTAATTAATTCATCCGAATTTTTCTCTATTCATCATCTATAATAGGTCATTTTTTTAAAGACAGTAAAGTAAGTCCTAGAAATTCAGCACCTTCTGCTCCAAGAAAAACTGAAAGTTGGATTTAACAGATGATATGGAAAGTTTTTTTTTTTTTTAATTAATACTCCTTAGACCTCACTACAGAAGAGTAAGGAATGAAAAATAAATTTTTGTTATTGTTTAAATTTTATTCAAAATGAAATGGCAAGTTCTTACCATTCTTTTATTTTTTAAAATATTGAAAATTTGTTTTTCTCATTCTATCAAAAATTGAAAATTTATCTTTCCTATTTCATAAAAAATTGAGAATTAATTTTTCTTATTTTATAAAATATAACTTACTCCTAAACGCAGCTCCCAGATAAAAACTTTCCAAGGTGGAGTCCTCCGAATATTCCTACAGAAAAATATATCTCCCACATCTCAAAAAAAAACTCTAGTTTCGGATGAAAGAAATCTTATTTTTTAGAATTATTAAACAAATACTGCAATTACAAAATATTGTACACAGATGCATCAAAAGCCGAAAACCAAGTGGGATTTTCAGTCGTTACAGACAGTGAAGAATTCCTGTACAAACTTTCAGGAGAATGTTCTATTTTTACGGGAGAAGCCACGGCCATAAAAGAAGCACTCTTGCACATCCGCACCAACCACTTCAAAAATCATGCTATCGTAACCGATTCAATGTCCGTAATAGAAGCCATAGAACAATCAACGAACCAGCATCATGTTATAACAGACATTTTTAGCATATATGGTGTACTAAAGGAAAAAAATAGAAACATAGTCCTTATCTGGGCACCATCACATTGTGGTATCCTGGGTAACGAGAGAGCCGATGCTGCAGCCAACTCTGCTCGGCGTCAAGGAACTGCACGAACCACAATAATTGATGCTATTCCTCGAGAAGATTGGACACAACAACTTGCCTGCTCCTTTCAAAATAAATGGAACGTTGAATGGGAAATGAGTTCGGCAAAACTTCAGGAAGTAAAAACAAAACGTATCAAATGGAACACATCAAACAGAAAGTCTAGACGAGAAGAAGTGATACTATGTCCCCTAAGAATTGGCCACTGTGAGTTTTCCCATGTATACCTCCTGCGAGGATTAGAAGCTCCAACTTGCACACATTGCCTAGTACCCAGAACAGTAAAACATATACTATTAGAATGTAGAAGGTACACTAATATAAGGAAAACATTTCAAATGGGAACGGAAATGAAAACAATTCTGCAAGACGGGGAGAATGAAATAGAAAAATTGTTCAAATATTTAAAGAATATTCACTTTGATCAACGAATATAAAATGGAAACATTAAGCCAATGACCCTTAGGGGTAGAGGCTAAATAAACAAATAAAAAAAAAAAGAAACTTACTCCTTTATAATAATTTATAATAAACGGGAGAAAATTTGAATAAATAAATTTCAATAATTGAGGTTACTGAGTTATATACCTAATTTATACTTCTAAAACAGTCTCCTTTCTGTTATCCTTAATGGCAAAATATTTTTTTTAAACTTATCAAAATTTTCTACTAGTAATATATCTGTACATTGGAGGTTAAAAACACCACATCCATTTTTTGAATTGTTCAGATGAGCCAATCTTCCCATAACTTTGAGCTATTAAATTTTTTTCTTAGTTAGTAAAATATTTAATAAATAATGTACATGGTCTAATTTACCTCCGGGTCACAATTATGTATCGAAAAATAAAAATATTCATACCATTAGAGTAATTTATTTTGCTTCAACTCCTATGGGCCATTGGCATATTAACTTACAGTTATTATATTCTACAACAGAATTAATGTTTGCTTAAGTAAGCCCATAGTTTCCTTACTGTTTCTTCATTATACTGCAACATATCATCCATTGTTGTATCCAACATAAGGTTTTACTATAAGGGTTGTAGATAAGGTAATCCATTCTAGGACGCACTGAAGACAGTTTTCGAGATAAAATAGTTAAAAATTGTAAAAATTAAATTCGTGATTTATTGAAACAAGAAAGATGAAACAATGATAATAAATCATTTATCTTTCTTCACTCTCTGATATAAGCTCTGAAGAGAGACTATTTAAAAAACGTTTCCTTGATATTTAAATTCTCTATATTTTACATTGACTATGATAATCCATTTTCTCATTCTTAATGTTAAAAAAAAAAAAAAAAAATCAAAATTCCTACATACAACAAACTGAAGGGACGAAAACTATGAATCAATAAAAACAATTAAAATAATTGTTCCGGAATAAAGGATGCTGTAAAATTTTGGCTGGGACTTTAAACATACTTTAGTAAAGTTTTCTTTTAATAGAGTATTGAATTCTTGAATACTAGTACTTAAAAACAAGTGTTTTGAATTCAATACCTAGGTTTTTTTTAAAAAATGTTTATAAAATTGAGCTCCTTCTTAGGCATAATATAATTAAGATTTACGATCTCATACATATTAAAAACATATATGGTTTCATAACCACTCAATTACAACAAGGAAGTTGGCTTTAAAAAGGAGGAAAATTATTTGTTTTGACAGGAGGAATGAAGCCTAACCGGCAACAAACCCAAATAAGACAATCGTAGAAAATGAAACTAACAACCGAAGCATTTTAAATATTCATAAGCAGAACAGTGAGAGCTATAATGTATTCCAACCAGATCACCGTGCTCGTCCTACAAGAGAAAGGATTTTCCCAAAATCACCCATCATTAGCAAGATGAGCAAGACGAAGCGTATGTGATCGCACGGATTGGTATGCAAAGATGTTGGGCGGGGTCGCCCATGACACCTTTAGCGATGATATTTATTAGCAACTGGTTAAGGATGCAAACTTCCTCCGAGTAATTTAGTGCATGAGAAAACAAACAGAAATATGTTTTCAATATGTATGAGCTCGTACATCTTGACAAACAAATCTCACCTTACACTATGCCCTACATTATGTCTAAGGAGAAATACAACATAAATTTTCTAAAACTTGGTGCTGAATTCAAAACAGACTTCGGCAATTCAATGCTCCATTAAAATATAACGTTACTGAGATATTTTCAAAAATAAGTGATTGAAGGAAGAATTACCTAAGCTCTAGAGTGTCTGGAATTTTAATTATAGCTTGAATATATCTAAATTTAAATTATAAAACTCCAAACTCTCTAATTCTAAGGAAGAGAAACCTGTGGATCTTCAAAAAAAAAATTTTAAATTTTAAACTTCCACAAAGTAGTTCTGTAGTATTTACAGAATCAATCAATCATATTTAATGAAGTGTTTAATAATAAAATACTTAATCAAAATGTTCTCCTTTTAGTAGCTTTAATCACAAAACTGCAACATATTACTTATCCGGTTTAACGAAGTACTTTAATCAAAATTGGCATTCATGCCGGCACCTCCAAAAGGCAATTATGAAATGAATGCGTTAGACATTATGAAAGCGTGATTTCACTTCGCACATTTCTGAAATTACCCGGTTTACAGCTTGGAGCAACGGCTTGCTCAACACTTAAATTACTTCGTTAATGAGTTAAGAAATTCCCTAAACTCTGTCGCATGCTGCAGAAATAATGATTTTTATTTATTGGACGTAGAACTGTCATCGAATTATATCACAATCAGATGTGTACTAGATGATTGTTTATAAGTCTGTACCTCATAACTGGTACCTGTTATATAATAGTAATATGTACTGTATATTATATATACTGTTATATAAGGAATACAAGTATTTTAACTCGATAAGACACTTTATCAAAAATAAGGTATTGTAATGCAAAGAATTAATCAAATTTTCCATCAAATTTAATTTTAAAAATTTTTCTTTTGTTGATATCCTGCGAATAATAATAATGTAAAAATAAAAATAATGTAATGCATTCCCACATTCAGTTATTTTATAATTAATAAGAAACCTTGACAATAAATAGTTAGAGAAATAACAGTAGGGGTTTCTGAAGAGTCAATACTAATAAATTACAAACATTTTGTCATTTTAGCATTTACATTTAGATATATACCTACATTTTTAGACGATATAATTTATTTTTATCAAAACTTGACACTAGTTTATCTTATTAATAACAATCCTATACATTATTTCTAAAAGGTGTATTTTTGTCGGTACACCATAACCTAGTCAATGCTACATCAAACCCAATGATTGACCACTCATTTTGGATACTCTTCTTCTTCTCATGTGAAGAATAGTCCCATCCCCCCGAAATTTCTGAAAAAAAAAGTTATGAAGGAAAAGAAATTTTATTTGCGAATAACTCTAACTACTAAGAAAAAAGTATGCATTTTTTTCTTGATTGTACCCATGATAATTAGGAAGATTACTAAATTACCTATAAAACAAATCGTAAAAATCGATTAGAAATATGTATGATGTAAACAATTTGTATTGACGGAAGGAGTAAAATGTATTGAAATATATTTTTAAGTAGAAACAGAGATTTGTAATTCGCAGCTCGAAAGAACCTCGAATATGAATTATCAGTGCGATCGAAAAATACATTTTTTTTTTTCTATAAATTTGACCTAAGGCTCCCCCTTGTGATTTTTTATCGTAAATCAGAAAAATTGTTATAACTTCAATATTCTTCCACCTATTAACACGAAATTTTGCAGGGATATAGGACCTTATAAATTACACAAAATAACACAAACTGTACCTTCCTAAATAATTTAGAACTCAAGTCATAAAATAAAAACCTGTTAGGAGTTTTTTCTTTACTTACTCTTTATAGACACGTTAAATCAAAAAGTTATTTAAATGGCCTTGAAGAGAGATAATTCAGCTTTTCAACGTTTGTAGAAACATTGAATTAGGATAAAATCCTGAGGAGTTATAAATGTTTTAGTTAACGGCAGACAAAAACATCATAATGAAAAGTGAAGTCGTTGCCATGGCGACTAAGAGATTACTAAATTATCTACAAAACAAAAAAAAAATTTAAAAATCGGACAATTATTAACAAAGATATAGTCCATTAGTTTTAGTATACTTAATATTGTCTTCTTGTTAAAATATACTGCATTTAGGAGTAGAATAGTCTACTAAACTTTTTTTTCTGGCTGATATATTAACTTTATTATTTCTTAAAGGTATTTGTTTGTTCTTACATTTTATTTTTTTTTATAATTTAGAAAATCTCATGATCGGGACATTATTTCGTCTTTATTACTTTTATTATCTTTCCAGTCAGCGTTTAAAAATAGGTCCTAGCAAAGCAATATGTACAAATATTCTGATCTATTATGTTAAATGGAATATTGTAATCTACCAAGGAAAAAATATTAATTCCTTCTTTACATAATACATAGGAACTACTTATTTCCATTTTGTTTTTCTATTTCTTCACACATTTTCTTCGAATTATTCGCAGGGGCCAATTAGTCAGTTTTATTTACGATTTATAAATCTTTGGTTGGAATAGATAAATTTATAAATCTCGACATTTTTCTAGAAATACATCAACGTAACTCTTAACCTCAAGAAAATAACAACAAAAGTATATTTTCCAGGAATAATTCTGAGAACCGTAGGTCACGGAGTGAATGGCAAAGAGAAACTTATTTCACAAACAAACTGTACTATATGAGACTAGCTACTTAGAGACATAAAATTTGTATAATAGCAGAACTAAAATTTACATAATTTCAAAACCTCATTGGAATTTTAAACCCAACAAATAATCATTTCTCTTTCCAATTTTAATCAAAGCAATAAGGAAAACATATTATGAAATTTATAGAATATTATTAAGCTATATAACATAAACATTCACATTCACATTAAATACATATTGCATTAATAATCCATGTAATATTTTTCTGTTCGTCTTTAAAGACCTTGTAGATATTTTGTCATCTTAAAACACCCTTCTCAATCTCTGCCTATTTTGGGCTATAGCTTTCAACTCTGCAGCATTCATATTGATTCGATATATCAACCTGTTTTTTGATCTCACGAGTCTTTTTCAGTTTTTCTTTTTTTTTTTTTTTTTTTTTGTATATTTCAACTTATGAAGCATTTATTGATGAGTAAAGGCTTCCTCGTGGATTCCACGGAGCTACATATCCCACCCATCCAAACCTCCTTGCATTAATATCATGATATATTGATAAAGTAGTGTCTATGATACTGGTTGAGTGAGCAAGTTTATAATTTAGAGAAGATTTTATATTGATATTAATTACATGGAATTATAACGTATTTGTGGAAATCTGATCGAATATAAATCAACATTTCTAATAGTGTAAAATTATACAATTTTCACATATTCACAAAATAGAAATCCAAATTAAGACCTATAAATAACTTAAAAATTGTGAACGCTGTGGGAGAAGTATCGTTAGGAGAAAACCGGGTATATTTTATCATTTCCTATCTAATTTTTTTTATCCCATAAGAACAATTCCATTAATCTCAAAGCTATTACGGTAAAAAGGAATATGTATACATCCGTTTTAAGAACGCATACTGCATTTGTTAAATCTAATCAGATAAGAACTAAAACATAGGCGTTCAGATAGAACTTTAAAATGATTTCATTTAAAATAATCAAAAAATAATGCAGGGAAAATGATCAAATTTCAGTCCTCTATTTTTCTAAAAACATTTCTTTCAAAATATACAAAACAAAAAAAAAAGTTACTTTTAAATTCATAAAAGAAAGAATCTGTAAACGACAGATGTTAAAATTTATTAATGACTATAATTTATGGCAAAAAATTTACTGTTGAACTTTTACCAGAAATTGAAGATTTTGAAATAAGACCCTAAAAATCAAGTTATTCTTTCTAAAGGCGATGACAACAGAAATAGTCAACCAATCAATCTCTCTCTCTCTCTCTCTCTCTATATATATATATATATATATATATATATATATATATATATGAATATATTAATTGAAATGTAATAAGAAATATATAAATTTTGTCTAGTTTACAGTGAAGAATTGTTAATTCCTTAAATTAAACATTTCTTTAGTTATTGCTTCCTATTCAAGAAAAAACACGACTTACTTAAAAAAACTATATTCTACTTTCCTGCTGAAAATTGGTCCATTGTTTATATGAACTTTTTTGAAGCTCTTGAGGTTTGCTATCACTCCTATAAAAATTTCCCCCTACTTACGGGACCCCCTGTGTGCGTATATATTTCAACTACATCATAACCAATGAAAACTGTTAAGGTCATAAGCTCTGAACTTGTTCATGAGGCAAAGTGAGCTGCTTATACACCGATTGGCCACGGCATACACAACGCTCAGAAATAATTGACGTGTCCAAACGGACATAACAACCTTAAGTGTGACAATAAAGAAAAATGTATACTTTTCTAAACTTTCTATCCCTTGTTCCTTCTCTTCCTAATATTGGTCTATTCAACCGAGAAAGGCTTTCTTCACGAACTTCAATGGGCCCAGTACAAGAACCTTATAATTGCGTTGTCTAAATAATGGAGCTATCAACACACAATAATAGTAAAATGACAAAAAGTAAATGGAAAATTTTCAAATTATTACAAAACCAATTAAAAAAATAAAATAATTATTTCGTTTTTAGAAAATTGGACAAACTCCGTACGTAACGTAACCATTTGGTCGTTTTAAGACCCTCCGCCAACTTTCTTTCAATTGTAACATTTTATATCTAAAGATATTCTTTCCTTTTTTATTTCTTAAATTACTTCTAATTATATGATACTGAATCTACCCTGCAAATTGGTGAAAGTTTCAATTAGTGAATTTCGAAGAACGAAAGGAATGTCCACCGTGGAGACATTTTCTGAGCGAGTACACGGAAAAGAAATCGAAAGTACATAACAGCACTTTCTTTACATCAGGAATAAAATATAATAATGAATTGTAAGCACCAACAAATAAAAAACAGATCAACTCTTTTCTTTTTATAAAAGAATTTCACGGTATCCTAATTTCCAACATAGCTTCAATGGTTTCACGAAGCATCACAGAAATGATTCTCTAAAGAGCTAAAATATTTTAGTATGGGTCGGGAATAACTTGAATGTGAAAGGCATTTTCTCTTCCTTTTTTATCATGAGAACTTTATATCATTATTCTGTAATTTTATTTTGTTTCTGATTTTTTCGTGACAAATATACTTTTAAATTTTAATTTCGGAAAGTAAATATTTTGTTATTTAATTGTTCATAATTATTTTCAATTTTTACAACTGCAGTATTTCTTTCTTCATTTATTTCTTAAGCTAATCATTTATTTCTTAAGCTGAACACACATTAAAATTGAAATTTTTTGTCAAAAATCTAAATCCCTTAAAACAAGTAATAAGTAGTGTTGTCCTTGGTCTTGCGCACTCAGGTACAGTCTTGGTCTTGGCCTTGCACAGGAGTCTCGCAACAGTCTTGCAGCAACCTATTAGCTTATTACTATAATTTATTAGATAGGAAAAACCTAACTAAGTCCGAATGAAATATTAGAAGAGTTCAATGCAAAAGTATATTGGTTATACCAAGTCCTTACATACAGTAACTAAAATTTTCAAGTATTAGTAACTATTTTGCCTTAATTTTTATTCAAAAAATCAATTTTTTTTTAACAGTCTTGGTCTAGGTCTTTCAACAGCTAGGCGGTCTTGCAAAATGTAAGACCAAGACCAATTTTGTGCAACGGTGGTAATAAGTGAGTTCACGTACATTGATAGTGAATATCACGGAATCTACTCGACAAAAATGTTTCCACAAACATTTCAAATCGAATTGTACAACTATCGATTGTACAAGACCAGGGACTCAGGGACTGACGACCCCTAGTTCACGAACTGGCCTAACCCTGAAACCACTTACCCAAGGTTGGGTTAGATCTCGGAAGGGCCTTCGACCCCGCCTATTGCCAAACCTAGAATATGTAACAGAGTCTAACTCTTGCCACACAAGTCCGTATCTGGTCGACATTAAAGTAAATATAGTAGTCTGTGGTTAGCAGCACTGCTTATTCCACAAAGGGTCGTGCCTCGTCTGCGAGGTTTCCCGGCTGGAGTAATCCAGCCTGCTCTTCCAAGATGATCGGGATCTCTGGAGAAATGGATCTGTAATTATCTTATGAAGTTATGCTTCGTTGATGATTTCAGAGTTTCTAATTATGAAAAAATTACAGAGTGACTTATAATCTACAAATTAAGAACAATCAAAAAAAATTTTTTTTAAACAAATATTATCAAAAACTGTTGCCTTTTCATTTGTACTCTATTTGCGACGAACCTACCAATTTGGCGGGTAAAGATTAAGCTTAGATTTTAAAAATAAGTAATTTATTCTTGAATTCATATTATAATTGTTTAAGTTAAATGTAATATTAAAAAAAAAAAAAAATAGGACAAAGACATTATCTTTCATCGTGATTCAAAGCAACATGCATCTATAATTTTAAAAAAAATTTGCGTTGTATCCGATCATGAAAAAAAGATAAATCTTATCATGAAATATTTGGTTATAATTAAGCGATCTGTGCAGTCAAATGAAGTTTGTAGTTATTAAACAGTCTGTAAAACGTTCACACTCAGATGTACAATATTTTAAGAAACTTGGGAATGGTTGTTTCGTCATACATAAAAAAAATGTAATTAGTCTTGACAAGTCAACACTAACATATTATGATTCTTTAATTTAACTGTAAAATAAAAAACAAAAAAAGGACAAAAACATTATCATCCACGTGATTCAAAGCTAAATGCATCTATAAATTAAGAATTTATTTCATGGAAAACGAATATCTATTCGCGGAGATCATATTTCCTTACAGTTTCTAAACACTTATTTTAGATAATTAGCGCATTCAACTATTTAAAGGTTTGAACCATTTACACAGTATGTTTTCAGTTTGTGATACGCTTATTTGTTTCTCTTGATTTCTTTCAAGTTAGAATTTAAACAACATCCTGTTATTCCTCTCCGTTATTATAAAAAAAACAAAAAACATAAGGACAACATTGCTATAAGATTTCAAGAACTCTACTAAAATAGAAAGGATGATTACGGAAATTATGTTCTATCCCTGTATCACGAACTTAGTTCCACAAGAAATAACAAAAATGATTCATTCCTTTCATATTTCTCATCTGACGATGAAGAGATCTGTTTTTTGTTTTTCTTTTAACACTATGATGGAAAACGTATTTAAAATAATGTGAGTATGTCCATTATTCATGCCTTCCTGCAGAGGGAGTATTATATTCTCTACATGATATTTCAGCTAGATATATGAATTCTTCAGATTTTTTTCCTGGTAGGACAACATTAACAAAACATCAGAAATGAAATGAATATACCTTCTATGGAGAGAGGATGGGAAAATGATTGCTATGACAATCCTCGGAAGATATTAAAAACTTCACATGTGAAAATGAATTTTAAATTCGGTGTAAAAATGTACATACTTGTAACACCATTTTCCCAGAGTTGAAGAGCCTCTGTCCTACTTCCTGACGAAAATTCCTCCTAACTCTTTTCGTTTCCCAAATCAGAACCGAAAATCCTCTCTGCATCCAAAACATATAAATCCCTCAAATTTTGATCTATATATCACCTCACATAAAACCACTTGAACCACCAAATCCTTCATCATCCGTGCTACCACCTCTCCTTTTGGATCTACTTGCTTATCTTTATACGCCAATTCTCGTCAAGCTATGCAAGAATTATTTGTTTCTGTAATTACGATTGCTATTAGCAGATAAGTAACAAGTGCCGTTTTTAGAGTTTTTCATGCCAGACTAATGGACATAATTTCTGAACTCATTCATCATTCATAGACGATTTTTGTCACAGATTAAAATTAATAATTCATTCATTAAATTAATTGATTCATGAATGTAATCGTAAACTTTGTTCCAGATGGCCTAGAGGAAGGAGTGGTTAAAAAGCGAAGCAGAGCGCCCGCGTCCGACGGACCACTAGAACCACCGCCGCAAGAACTGGAGGAGAGGAAGGGTCCTCCAGGACCTCCCATACCTCCAGGCTTCCTGTCACCGTCGGTCATGCAGTACCTCGAGCTCGGCAAGTCCATCCCAGGTAAGGTGTCACAGTTGCGCAACTTCACTAATGACACGCAACAGGGCTCAACATTACCAGATAGGGGTTTTTAAGATTAGATGCTAATGATGATGAACTAACTAGAAAATCCATTTAGGCAAATCATATAGAATAATTTAGAAAATGTAGACGGTAGCGTTATTTCTGTTACGCAATGATGAAACCCTAATGACTCAAGAGCTGTCGTCTTAAATTTAATAAATGCTACTTGGTTAATGTCGCTCTTAAAATTCATTTCCAACGCACTTTCTATAAGGATAAGTTTATATATTATCAATTATAGAAATTCATAAGATCTAAAATCTTCTAATAAACACTCACTAATGTAAACAAAATTTAAAATAAGTACTTAAATATAAATATACGACATTAAAATGAAATTCAGTATTCAATGGATAGGTAATAAGGAAATATTAACGGGAAATCAATTATAAACTATTTCTATCTTATATTAACAGAAATAGTCCGGGGCACAGCTATCCTATCACCTCTAGAAATGAATCTTCCTCTCAAAAAGGAAATATTAGGCAGCTGGCAGCTCATCTGGAATGAGAGTCCACCAAGCAAGATGAAAGTTATTAAAAAATCAGTAAAGTCCTGGGCCACATCAAACCGTCCTAATCGCAGGGAAGAACTCGCCTTGGCCAGGTTGAGAATAAGTCATACAATTTTTTTATTTTTTTTTTATTTTTAATTTTTTTTTTTTTTTGGTCCTTCCCTTCCTCGCCGCTAATAAGGCTATACGGGATTTTCCCGGGCTAGGGGGTGTGAGCGGGGATTTAGAAATTTGACTCATTTATACCTTATCAACAAACAACCACCTCCAACATGCCACTACTGCAATAGCCCTCTCACTGTCAGCCATATTTTTTCAGGAATGTCCCTATTACGCCGCAAGCTTAAATATATTATCTCTTAGACCGGATATTTCAGCTATATTAAATAATGCTATTCAAACATAAAAAAAAAAATATAAATTTCTCTATACACATCGATTATTCAACAGAATATAGAAATGTATAAAAAAAAATATATAAATTTTTTTTTTAACTTAGGAGTTTCTGAGCTGCAGAGAACAAAAATAAAGAACAATCAAGCGTTGATGACCCTAGGGTTTTACGCCTCAAAGCCCAAATAAACAAAAACAAACAAACATAAATAATCACTAATAATCACATATTAGAAAATAATCAAATGCAAATTTTGAACACTTTTAATGGTCTTAAATAAAGTTTTACTTTATAATAAACACGATTTTATCATCATACTGCAACTGGCGAGAAAGTACAAATAATTATAAAATGCAGAATTTAAAAAAAAAAAATAGAGAAACTGATATATTATTTTTTTTTTTAAATCTGTATAAAGTAGGTACTCTTTTAAGGTTTTTATAACAATCATAGAATACAAACGATCGATTAAAATACTTTTTTTGCGTTGTATCCGATTATGAAAAATAGAGAAATCTTATCATCAAATATTTGGTTATAATTAAGCGACCTATGCAGCCAAATGAAGTTTGTCGTTATGAAACAGTGTTTAAAACGTTTGCACTAAGATGCACAACATTTTATGAAACTTGCGAATGGTTGTTTCGACTTACATAAAAAAAAAAAAAAAAAATGTAATTAGTCTTGACACAAATATTTGATTCAAACTTCGAGTCAAAATGACATAAGGAGAGTTCAGCGACATTCAACAAATTTTTAGGTGATGAAAATGCTCGGAAAAAAATTATTAGTGAGCAATATTGCTGGAAAGACTCGATAGTTAAAGGCTAAATAATAAGCAAAGACTTACAGTGAACAGGAAGTCCACTTTTGTCACTAAGAAGAATAGTATTTATGGCAATACTGAAAAAATAAATTTATTTGAAAAAAGTAATTATTTCTTGTTTTGTGTAGTTATATAGGACTAAATATTGCACTTGTCCATGTCTTGAAAAAAGAAAAAACTAATTCACATAAAAATAAATTATGATACCTTTTCCAATATTCATTTTAGCGGGTGTCATCCATCAATGATAAAAATTCCCTTGTGAAACGTACTTAAAAAAATATAATCCAGTAAAAAGTAATATTAAAAGATTAAGAAGCCATAACGCTACACTCGGACTGAAGAGCAGTTAACCTGGTTTTGAGTCCGAGACCTTGACATTCGATTTATTTATTTCAACACACGACTGCTGGAAATACCAAACGTCTCGTCAGTCTTTATAATATATCGATAGTTCAACATTAAGGGTCTGTCCTCAATGTATCGGCAATGAATTTAAAGATGGTTAATTATAAAATGAAATCACGAAAGGCTAATATCAATAAGCTATATATTACGAATGGCACCCTTAAGGTAGCCTTGCGACATTCGGATGCGCAAAGTATTCCGTATTCACCCAACCTTACGACATTCGGATGCGCCAAGTATTCTGTACTCACCCAACCTTACGACACTTGACGAAGCCCTGAGGAGTCGTGGGCAAATCTTAAGCCGAAGTCACGCTTCGGTATAATGAAGTCATCAGCAAGTCAATAGCGGGAGGTAGGAATAAAAACGCTAAAACACGAAAAACCTCTAGAGGAAATCTTCCTTTTAGGAACGGTAAGTGGTAAAGAGGATATGCTGTTTCATTGCCGGTAACAACTTGATGGCATTGGAGGCACAGCTGTTAGTTAAAGCGATAGTGTGAAATGGATTCCTTCCACAATAAGAAGTGAGTAGGAATATACAATAGATAGTTGTAAACTAATAGTGAAAAACACTTTAGTAACAAGTAAATAAATTCGCTCAAGTAAATAAAAAAAATCTCAGAAAAATGTCGTGCAAAACATCTTAGACAAGATATTCAATATCAATACTCAATAATTGTAATATGCAGTGATATATCTATTTGCAGAAAAAGCTTCCAAGCCTGGGATTCGATTAGAAGATTTGTTTTATTCTGTTTTTATAATGTGAAGTCACAGGCAATGTCGTCATATAAAAACATCGCAACACCCACCTGTGCGTAAGGTGGAGGAGTGTCTTAGTAACTCCCACGTTAGGAATACATTAACAACAGACCATCTCTTCTCTAGACAAAACAATTCAAGAAAAATGATTTTTAATTAACTCTAACCTGAATCAATGCTTTTGACCGAAACAACGAGTTTAAACCAAGTACCAATAAACAAATACAAAAAATAATTGATTTATTATCAGAAGCTTTCAAACCACAAAGTTACAGCAATGAAGGATCATAAACCACAAAGAAATAAATTTCACACACACACACAGGCTATGTTTCTATGGAAACATTTTGATGATTTATTACATAAGAAATATAAGCTGAAGTATAATATTTAACTAGAAGATCCTTACCTTTACAAAGACAATTAAGGTGATAGAGTTCCCTTACCTGAAACAAAATCAAATAACATAAACATTAATCATTAAGAAATAAATTATTAACTTATAACTATTCATTGTAGAAAATAAAATAAAATTGTTTGGAATCACATTATAAAATAATTTTGATTTAAACAGTAATATTTTAAACATTTCTGACTCTCACTCCTTTGACTGGAACGATCTCATACGACTCATGATAAAAAGAATTATTTGAGTAATTTAATACCAGTTCATGCCATTGATATGCTCAATCAATGACAATTGTTGATTTTTTCTAAGACACTTCTCGATGAAATAAGGCCAGCATGGCCTTTTAAAATAAGGCCTTTGCCTTGAAGTGGATACCCTTACTTGCTTCTAGTGTTCAGCTTCAGTTCACGATATAGGTTAATAGTTTCATGTTTCTTAACTTTGTTATTAACTAATTAACTTTTCATTATGATCTAATGGTGCCTACATGAAAAGTATTCATGGCCATGATGAATCAACCTACGGACTGTAAGTAGAAGCTTTATGGTATAAAAATGTACGTCTTATTATGCTTCTTTTTTTAATTTTTTTTAAAATTTATTGTATTTTTTTTTTTTAATAGAATGTAAAGACAGCTAGGATTTCATCTATTTATTCATCAAGTAATTTGTCTAGTAAATAATCTGAATCTTCATTCATGCTTTCTAAGTAAAGCACGTTTAACCAAATAATCCAGCAAATCAGTCGTTTCACTTCGCGTTTGCATATTAAAAATTAATCAAATCGTCGGTAGATCAATTAAGAACTCACAAACTTTACAGTACAACCTAACTAAAACCTTAGCACCACAGCACAGTCAGATTATTAATCATTCATTCAAAATTTGTGCTGAATGCTTCGCATTTACAAGTGCATACCCCAAACATATAAGTTGTAATAGACGATATGTTATGATAGATACACAACAAAACATATACACGCCTGAATCCCGATTTCTCTTGAACCAAACCATCGCCAGATGAAATCTCTTCAACGGAAGTTATGAGGAAACTTGAAGATGCATTAACAGCGAGGTGCAGTATTGCTCTGAACTTTCACAAAGGCTTTCAGTGTCAGAACGAGAAAGTTGCCATTCTGCGCAGTAGGGGAAACCCAATTTACAATTCGTAAAATTCGTGGAAAACCGCATCCTTAAATCTACGAAATGCTATTATTAGTGAATTATAAACAAGTTTCGGAATTCGTAAATTTAAATTTATAATAATAAAAAACATAGGGATTAGAATGGAAGGAAATCTTTATACTAATCTCTAAAGGCCAATATAGATGTATCAGACCACCTAGAAATAATAAGTTATAAAAAAAAAAAAAAAAAAGAAAGAAAAACACAATTATAGAAAAAGACAATATGCTCTGATTTTTTTTGTGGAACAAGTAGGGTATATGCATAGTCGTACCTCTAATTCCATATGAATATTCCTTCAAAAAGAAATAATTTAAAGAAACTCGATGAAAACGGACTTCTTAAAGCCAATTTGATCGATTAATTAAAGCGAAACAGCCCCGTTGACCTCTTTACTTAATCGATGTTCAATCGATTGTTTTACGCGGTTTCCAACTAATAATTAAGAGAAGGATCATCGCAGCAATCAAATTGGCTTAAAAGAATCCCTTTTCTAACAGTTTCATAAAATAATTCCTTTTTGATGTAACGTTCAAGTGGCGTTAGAGGAACGACTATCTAATGTGCTATAAGAGAACGTTTGTTTTGCTTTATAAATCGGTTCTGTATTAAATAATGAACTGAAAAACAAATAATAAATAAACCAATAATATAAACATTGAAAATAGATAAATATATTCATATATATATATTGGCATCAACTTAACTAAATCATTTTTTCATTCTTTATATATGCGAAAGATTGATGACAAATAAATAGTGTTTAAATTACGGTAAGGAGGAGGCTTTTCAAATGCAGATAGGTAAGCAATTTCAAAACGAATTAGCATCAATGATAACAGATTTTTCACAGGAAACTATACTATGAGAAGGAAAAATATTTAAATCTGTAGGTTGAGATCTCGGTCAACAAGGAGTGAACTGAACGAAGGATAAGGAGGTCAAGAATATAGGAAGATTTTTTGGTTCCCGAGGATTGGAATAGGAAGGCACCAAGAAGGTTTCGTAGTCTGCAAAGGGGATTAAGCCAGAGGGACAGTTTAGAAACAACATATCTTCAGAAGCAATTGATTAATGTTTTAATTAATGTTATATATGATTAATGTTTTAATTAATGTTATATATGATTAATGTAAAGTATTAAAATGGATTTTCGGATGATTTGGGAAGTCGGATGACAGTTATTCCACTTTGGATATAAGTAACTACAGCTAAAAAAAAAAAAAAAAAAAAAACCGATGCAGAGTGAAGATACAGAGCACTCTATCAGAAGAATTTGAGGTTGTGCGTGGTTTTCGCCAAGGAGATCCTCTCTCTCCTGTATTATTTAATATTGCATATGGGCAAGTGGCTAGAGCAATGAAGACAAACCCAGGAGGAACAATCTATAATAGACTCACCCAACACTTACCGTATGCTGATGACATGGTAATATCGTCAAGGTCTGAAGCCGTACTATCACGAAGTTTGAAGATGCTCGAAAAAAGTTGGGACTTAAAATAAATAAGAAAAAAAAACACAATATATAATATCCTCAAAAGGTGAGGGGCACGAGGTATATGAAGGACAGGATAGTATGCAACTGCTATACCACACTTTTAAGAAAGCTGGCAGTTTCAAATATCTTGGGGTCTTAGCGAGTACAAAAATGACATCACTGACGAAAGTAAAGCAAGAATCACAGCAGGAAACAGATGTTTTTTTTTGCATTACGGAAAACACTGCGTTTTCGAAATCTTTCACGGAAGGCAAAGCTACTGGTTTATAAGACTATTTTGAGACCAATTGTCACTTACGCAGGTTAAACATGGGTCCTGACACAGGAATGCGAGATCCTCCGGATCTGGGAAAGGAAGATCCTTCAGCAAATCTTTGGTCCGATATGTATTAATGGCCAATGGATATTAAGAAATAATAGAGAACTCCAAGAACTGTATAAAAAAACCATACATAGTCACTTACGTTAAATCAAGCCTTATAAGATGACTTGGGCCTGCAGAAAAGATTAGTGAAGATCTATACCCAAAAAGACTATTATTTGGTAAACCAGGAGGCAAAAGAAGTAGAGGATGGCCCAGACTTGGATGGGTAGATGATGTGGAGGACGATTTGCGGAAGATGGGAATCGGACAATG